GTTGGGGTGTTTTCTCTGCACCTTGATCTACTTCAAGAAACTCGAATGAGTTTTTTAGGGTTTAAAATATGCTTCAAGTGTCACTGGACCTTCCTGATTTCTGACCACTGCCTCCTCTGCCTTCTCATGGGACTCAATTTATTATATTGTACCCACTACCAACTTTTCAGGGAGAACCTAGAAAGAAAGACTGAAAACTTGGAAACAGATTTTAGAAGATTGGATGGCAGGCCTCGACGCAGATCAATACAGGAATACCAACCTGTGCAGCACCAGACATGCCATGAGTGAGCCCAGGGAGTCCACTTCATTATGGAAAAAAAAGCTCAAGAAGCACTCCCAGAGATTTGACCATGATGAGTCTAGGGAACAAAGCAGGTCCAGGGCTTTACCTGAAGAGTCCAGTCAACTAACTTTAATGCAGTAGACTCAGGAAATTTCTAACCTCTGGTCTAACCTCAACAATTACTTTTAATCTTCCTTAATTAGCTGTATTAAGCACTGTCTGCACAAACTCTAGCATTTAATTCTTTTGTTAAGTTTGATCTAAAACCAATTTTCTACTTGAATTGGAATGGAGGAACGTAACTAGGGTCAAATGGAACAACTTCAGCACAGATCTTTGGTTTGTTGCACTTATGGATCAGTGAATAATTTTCTTGCAAGAGCTGACATGCATAGTTTTAGCTTTCAGTACAATTTACAGTAGGTTCAATACACCATGTTTATTAATTAGATTTGTTACATTGCTGCGGCCTAAATAGTGTCTGCTCAAGCTGTAGGATGAGGAAGAGAATTTTCCACATGATTCCAATCCTGGAAGAACTGGGGATTGTGAAACTGATAGTCCTAAAAATCACATTCGCCTTGAATGTCCTACTGTTCAAAAAGCCAGCTCAAGATAAGGGCAATCACTTAATCAAATCAGTCTTGTCAGTCTTCCGGGAATTCTGTTTCTTAATGCTCTTCACGGGTTACCTAAGGTCTAGCCCATGAAAGTCAGTTGTGCTGTTGCTGTTTATTTGTTGATTTGTTTATGTATGTGACCCTGGAGATTTAAAAAGTATCCATGGTAATGCTGTTACCTATTTGGTATGTAAGAGTTCTGTTACTTTCAGGAACTTGAGATATTTGTAACTTAATGGGAGCATGGGTTCAAACATATTGTTCTTGGGACATTGTGGTATTCACAACAATGGTCTACAGTGCCAAGTTAGAACACCCTACTCTAGGTTGGAAAATTGTGGCTGATGATTTACAGCAGTTGTCATTCAACAGTGATTTTTTAAAAAAATTATAACTGCTGTGAAATCCTTGCTGGATTTCCAGATGCTGCTAAGGTTATAGCAGGTGTGTGGTATATGAGTCGTGCTAACCAGATGGAGGATCCTTAGTTTAGAATGAAAGGAAGAATAAGGTGCTCCCCGAGAGGCACTTTTACATAACGGCCGTATAGCACATGTCATCTGCTAATTTTATTTAAGTGCCAAAAATTTTTGATAATAAAGAGTATTGAAGTTAGAACTGTTGTGCTATTGAGCATTACTTTATGATACTTGAGCCAGGGTATGCAGGTCTTGGCTTGATGCCTGCATTGAATTGTCTTTGGAACATTTATCCGCTGTAGTCTTTTTAGAAACTCAGTGGCATTGTATTGTAGTGTTGACCTGAACTTTATGACAGCGCTGCTTGAGTTACTACCCTGAAGTTAAATTTTCTTGAGAGATATTTGCAACCTTCTTGCATTTCACAGAAAAATACAATGCCACTTGCTGGATAATTGCACCATTTGGACCATTTCCCAGTGCAGATGACTACAAATATGCTGGACTCCCAAGTGGATTACTGTGTTATTTGTTTCAGGACCTTAGGCACTAATGTCATGACCACAGCGTAGCCGCCTCAACTTTCATGTTTTTTCTGAGAGAGAATTCATTAGCCAAAATCCACAAAAACATGAAGTTATGATGAAACTCTTGTATCTGAAGTAGAAGTATTCAAAAGTGGATCTTTTTGTAATAAACATTGGCTTCACGGGTTCAGTTTAAAGCTGCGGCCCTTCAACTATTTCCCTTCTCTTCGGAGGAGAAAGCTTTTTGAGTTTTTTGTTCATCTATACCGACCTTAACGTAAGTAATTTTAGGGAGTCAAGGAAGAGAACTATACAAATTTCCTACTAGCCATTTAAGGTGTATCCTAACGTTCCTTGAAGCCAAGGGCACCTTTTCCACTTTACTTTTCCAATTGCAAAGATCCATTTTCTAATTTGGAAATGGAAAGATGGATTTTGTAACTCTTCTCCTCCATCCTTGAGCAATCGCTTGCCTATTAAAAAGGACTGACAGAGCACATCGCTTTATGTACTGGAAATTATAATAGCCTTCAAAAACATGCGATGCCAGCTGAAAGGATTCACCCCACTTACAATAACCCTCTTATTCTGGAATAGTTAACTTTGCTGAATCAAAGCTGTTTCTGTACCAGTTTGTGCAGCTGCTATGGAAGCTTCTATTCATCTTCTGGCTATTCATTGCAAAACTATTCACTGAAGTCACCTTTTATAAAAAGAATGTTAGAAATAGGCTTTCCCATAGATCTATGTTGTGGTTTGGATCTTTCTTTGTTGCAAAGGTTGCAGCACTCGCCTTACGAATCATGGAATGCTATAGGCTTGTGGAATGGCTATTTAGGGCTTTGATGAGGTGAAAAGCTTCATTGTCACAATTGCCCCAGAATCATTGTAAAATTAGTTTCCAATATTCTCCAGGATATTGCTAATTCTTTGTATCTGCTAAAATGGACTTTGGATATTGGGAGGACTTTACAAATTGAAAAGTAATGACTGACTAAATGTTTTCTGAAATTTGTTTGGAAATTGTCACCCCTGCAGTTGATGCAAGTCAGGTTTTGAGAATCAGAGCACACCTTAGCAGAACTCAATGTAGTATCTGCAAGGCAATTAAAGGGAATGTGCATTCAAGGAGTTGGTCCAGGATGTATGTGTAAGTCTCTCAGTGAAAAACAGCATCACTAGATTAGAATTCATTGGTTTTTGGAGGATAATGAATGAATAAGAAAATAAGATGATCTGCCTCTGGTTGGATCTTATTTTCTTTTTGTTTGATTAACCTATCCTCCTGAAACCAATTTCTTGCCCTCTTCCTCCTTTGTCCCCTAATCTGGGAGTATGGGCTTGTTGTGCTTTTTAATTAAACGTTAAATATAATTAACTAGCTGCCAACAGTATTGGCACTACCTCCTTGGTTTAAAAACAATTAAGGAATATTCCTGGGCAGTATTTATACTGTAAAGGGCAGAAAAAAATCATTTGATCATTAAATTAAATTGTGAAGGGGCATTGCCCCACTACTTTATTTTTCCCTTCATTCAACTGGGCTTGTTCATTGGTATGTGAAGGATAACTTCATTTGAAGAATGGAGAAGACCCTACCAGAGGTAGGTCCCCTAACTTTGCTGATAACAGACATGAGTAGTAATTAGTGGGGCATGGAAAAACGTGGAGAGGTTGGTCAATGTGCTTTAAAACAAAAAATTACCCTGTGTGGATGATGTAACAAGTTAAAATGGAGTAGAATACATACTTAAAGTTGAACAACCATAACTTGGGCACATCACAGCAAAAACTGCAGATTTTATCAAGCAAACGCAGAATACTGCAGAAACTCAACGATTTTGGCAGAATCCGTAGAGGGAGAAACAGATAAAGTTTCAAGTTCAGTATTGCTCTTCTTCAGAAGTCATACTGGACTCAAAACACTAACTCTGTTTCTCTCTGCATAGCTGCTGCTCGACCTGAGTTTCTCCAGCAGTCACGGTATGTTGCTTTCAGTCGAGATTTTGACTTTTTCTTAATTAACCTATTTTTCTAATCAACCTGTTCAGAGATGTTATTACACACCTCTGGAGCAAGTGGGACTTGAACCCATGCCTCCCTGGTCTTGGGTATGGATACTTCCACTGCACCGCAGTAGAGCCCAAATATCTTTCTGTGGTTTTGAAGAGTGATCACTCGTTTGTAAAGCAAATGCACTAACTACTACCCCACAGAAACAGGGCACATTAGAAGTTTTGATTTGTTTCCTCCCATTACTTTCAATGTGTTTAAATATTTGCACCAACCTGTTCAAATATTAGGGCAAAGCCCATTTGCTATTAAATCAATTTGTGTCAATTTATGTTAAAAATGAATTCACCTTTTTTCATGTTAATCAAACCATTTTGGGCTTGCCAAGCACATGCTACTGCCACTTCTTTTGTGTCAACAACATACTGGAGATTGATTTCAGGTGTTGCACCCAGTTAGTAATTTAATCTTAAGCATTTTCTCTTGATTTATTTTAAAATTTATTGGTGCGGATAAAATTTTTTTTTAGTGTTAAATGATGACATTTCACTTGCTGACAGCTTCGCATAGGCTCATGTATTCTAATTTTACCACATTTTTATTTATTCCTCGAGCCACGGAACTTTAATTGCGAATTTGTAGTCACATGAACATGCTAAACAACCATATTTGGCTGGCTTGCTAAAGTTGACTGAAAGTTCACTTTTTTGTGCTAAAAGTGGTTTTCTTGACATTCTTCCATCTTTGTATTATGCAAATGTGAATAACAGATGGCCGCAAAGACCCAACTGTTAAGAACTAAGAACAAAGCTCAAATTGTCAATAGAACTAAGTTTGAACTATGTCCTTAAATTTAATAGATAATTTTCCACCCATAGTTCAGTGGTTATTGTTAATATTTCATCTGTTTTTTCCTTGCTGTTACTGAACAACCATGGTAGAAGTGGCACACACTATAGGCAAAAGTTTTATAAAAATAATGAGGTGGGCTCCAGAGATACTTCCATTGTGTGAATGATGCGGCAGATACTTCCTGATGTAGTATAATTGAGTTCCTGTTTCCCAATGCATTGCAGACAAATGGCATCAGTTTCAATGCAGAGCAATCAAAATATAATTTTTCCCCCATTTATAGGGGCGGCTCTCAGGAAAAGGATGAAACAGCATCTCCAGAATTGCTATCATCAATGCAGAGTAAAATAACTCAGGTATGAATTCATAATACTGACCTTTTCATTATTACTTATTCTTGGAATATGGGTGTCATTCTGCGGACTTGGGAGCAGGAGTAGGCCATTCAATCTACCAACCCTCCTCTATTATTTGGTTGGATCGTCATTGATCGTCTACTTCAACGTCACTTTCCCATGCTATCTCCATTGCCATCGTGTTGTTTATTGCCCATCCTAGTTGCCCTTGAGAAGGTGGTATTAAGCTGCCTTTATGAACCGAAACAGTCCATGTGCTGTGGGATGACGCACAATGTCATTAGGGAAGGAATTCCAAGATTTTTACCCAGCAACAGTGAAGGAATGGCAATACATTTACAAGTCAGGGTGGTGAGTGGCTTGGAGGGGAACTTGAAGGTGGTGGTGATAACAGTGTGGAGCTGGAGGAACACAGCGGACCAGGCAGCATCAGAGGAGCAGGAAAGTTGACATTTCGGGTCGGGACCCTTCCTCGGGAAATGGGGCAGGGGGAAGGGAGCTCTGAAATACATAGAGAGTGGAGGAGTGGAGCTGGGGAAGGTAGGTGGGATGATGATGATAGGTGAGTGCAGGTAGGCAGTGGTGGGGATTGGTCAGTGAGGTGGGAGAAGCAAATAGGTGGGAGAGAAGATGGGCCCGTTGTGTCAGATCAAGGAGGGGATGCGAGGGAGGGTTGGTCATGGGATGAGGCTGGGGGTGGGAAATTTTGAAACTGGTAAAGTCCACATTTCGACCATTGGGTTGTAGGCTCCCAAGGTGGAATATGAGGTGCTGCTCCTCCAGTTTCTGAGTGTCGGCATTGTGACACTAGAGGAGGCCCAGAATGGATATGTTGCCCAGGGAGTGAGAGGGTGAGTTGAAGTGGTTCGTGACTGGAAGGTGTTGTCGTTTGTTGCGAACAGAGCGCATGTGCTGTACAAAGCAGTCTCTGAGTCTCCGTTTGGTCTTACTGATGTAGAGGGCGCCACATCAGGAACAGCGGATGTAATAGACTACGTTGAAAGATGTGCAGGTGAACCTCTGTTTGATGTGAAATGTTTGTTTGGTGCCTGGGATGGAGGTGAGGGGGGAGGTGTAGGGGCAGGTGTAGCACTTCCTGCGGTTACAGGGAAAGGTGCCGGTGGTGATGGGGCTAATAGGGAGTGTGGGAGGGGACGAGGGAGTCGCGGAGAGCGCAGTCCCTACGAAAGGCAGATGGGGTGGGGAGGGAAATATATCTTTTGGTTGTGGGGTCAGATTGTAGGTGGCAGAAGTGGCGGAGAATGTTACATTGATTACAGAGGTTAGTGGGGTGATATGTGAAGACGGGGGGGATTCTGTCTTTGTTTTTGTTGCGGGGAGGAGATGTGAGGGCAGAGGTGCAGGAAACGCAACAGATGCGATCGAGAGCATTTTCAACCACCGAAGAGGGGAAGTTGTAGTCGTTGAAATAAGAGGAAATGTGGAGCGCCCCATCTTGGGAGCAGACACGGTGGAAGTGGAGGAATTGGGAGTAGGGGATCGCATTCTTGCAGGAAGGTGGGTGAGAGGAGGTGTAGTCCAGGTAGCTGTGGGAATTGGTGGGCTTGAAATAGATGTCTGTTTCGAGGTGGTCACCAGAGATGGAGACATAGAGGTCCAGGAAGGAGAGGGAGGTATCAGAGATGTCCAGGTGAACTTGAGGTTGGGGTGAAAGGTGTTAGTAAAGTTAATGAACTGTTCAAGCTCCTCATGGGAGCACGAGGCAGTGCCGATACAGTCATCAGTGTAGTGGAGGAAGAGATGGAGAATAGTGCCAGTGTAGCTGCGGAAGAGGGTCTGTTCCACGTATCCTACAAAGAGGCAGGCAAAGCTTGGGCCCATGTGGGTTCCCATGGCCACCCCCTTAGTTTGTAGGAAGTGGGAAGAGTTGAAGGAGAAGTTGTTATGGGTAAGGATGAGTTCGGTTAAGCGGATGAGGGTATCGAGGGAAGGGGACTGTATGAGCCTGTGGGAGAGGAAGAAGTCGAGGGCTTTTAGGTCATCAGCATGGGGAATGCAAGTGTACAGCTTCGACAGCTTTCAGAGGATTCCAAAGGTTCACCTCAGTCAAGAAATTCCTGCTCATTTTAGTTTTAAATGGCCTGGCCCTTATTCTGACGTTATCGTAGGACCCCTACAGTGCGGAAACAGGCCAGTTGGCCCAACAAGTCCACACTGCCTCTCCAAAGAGCATCCCAACCAGACCCATTTCCCTACCCCTGATTTCCCATGTCTAACCCACCTAACCTAAAGATTCCTGGGCGCTATGGACAATTTAGCATGGCCAATCTACCTAGCCTGCACATTTTTGGACTGTGGGAGGAAACCGGAGCACCCGGAGGAAACCCACGCAGACCTGGGAAGAATGTGCAAACTCCACAAAGACAGTAACCCAAGGGTAGAACTGAACCTGGGTCCCTGGCGCTGTGAGGCAGCAGTGCTAACCACTGAGCCACCGTGCTGCCCCATCGTTATGTGCCTAGCTCTAGACTTAAAGCCAGAGGAAACATCCACGCTGTCACACCCTGTAAGATTTCAGGTATCAATGATATTAATTATCATTTTTTGAAACTGTGGAGAATGATGGGGTCCTTCCATTTGTGAGTATAAAACTTCAAAAATTGAAATCAAGTAAGTACTGTATGCAGAAAGTGCAGCAATTTGTGGACATCGTTTCCTACTCTGGATTTAATTACTTTTAATATGAAAGGAAATATGTAAGATTGAATTTTTCTCAAGATTGTATTTGATGACCATACTGATGCAGTCCTGAGAGAGGTGTTCCCTTTCCTATTGCAACAACAACACTGTCCTGAAGTATTAACCTCAATAAAGGGCATGGGGTGACCTGAGGTGGTGTGTGGTGCCATATAAATGCGCTTCTTTGATCAAATATCTCATTCTTATTTTCTTTTCGTATAGGATCTAATGGCCAAAGTGAGAGAAATGTTGGCTTCTTCAAAAGATGTGCAAACCAATGTGTCCTGAACAAAAGCCTACAAGCCCTGTAAGAACACATGGATCTGAAGTAGCTTCACAAGAAGTTTGACCTGCCTTGTCACAAGAACTTTATTATTTTGAAATTTGGGCAGCACTCAACTTTGGCAACAGCTGTTTTGTATAGCTCATTTTGATAAGTATGGTTTGAACTGAGATCTTATTCTGTTAATACTGTTTTGCAAATTCCCCCTCCTCTTCTTGAACACAACAAACTCTCCAAGTGCTCTGGGACGTCTGAATATTTGGGGGTGTACTTTATATTGAGCACCAGAAACTAGCTGCCTGCAATCATTTGTGATTACCAGACAGAAGCTTAGCTTATCCTTCTGTGAAGGAGTTTTACTACTTGATTTCTACAAAGATGAGGTAACATCTCATTTTGTAAATTTGAAGAGTTCTACCAATGTAAATCTTGCATTGTTAGCAACTGTTTGGGGTTTCAGCCTTGAAACAGAATGCACACGCTGGTCTTGAAGATCAGTAAAAGCACGGCAGAATATAACATCAGCGTTACTTATGATACAATGTGTATCAGACATTTTCTGAAAACGTTGCATTTATTTAAACAGCCACATATAAATTTACTTTAATCCACACCCTAAAGATGTTGTGAGAGGGCTCCAGTAAAACTTTCAACCACAGAGATTTAAAATTATTGAATTACTAATGGTAATTTATTTGTTAGGAATAATGATTAAACGTTTATTTGTAGAAAGTGCTCACTTTTAATCTACTTGACAAAAGTCATTTTCAGGTTACTGCTCAGTTGGTGCTTCGTGTTTTTAAAAATGGCTATTTTGGCATTGTCACAGCCTATTAATCCACTGGCCCACCATTTTGATGCTTTGCAATTCACTTCTGCAGTGATGTCACCTGACACAAGTTTAGAGGAAAAATTGATTTCATACCGGGTAAACATGTTTTATATGATTGCATATTTGGTTAAAAAAAAAAGCATCGAGTAATGTTTTGCTCACTGTGGCACAATAGTGATATGACTCACTGCTTATTTGGCTTACATTTTTCTGCTAATGGAAGCTCCGTACTTTGCATCATTAGCCTCTGCTCTGTATTCATTAGAGTTGGATCAGTATTACATCCATGCCACTTGGCTCATTTACTTTCCTGTAAATCTGTTAACTGCCTGTACCATGACAGCAACACAACACTGTATTTTCTTTGAAACTGCATGATTTATTTTTGGTTTGTTTTATTATATGCCATATCATTTTATTGCAAAGATACAACAATATCGCCCTCTGAAAATATTAAGCTAGAATTAACACTTCTTTGTAATCGTCTGTAGGTTTCTTTCACCCAAGCATCTTTTTCTTGGTGCTGTCAAATTCTGAGAGTAGATATCCATTTAATTTTTGAAGACTATGCTTTCTAATCTGGTTGAATATCCTTTGATTTGTTTCTTTTGATATCCTTGCCCTTTGTTTAAAATCTTTTCAGATTTCAGAGGTTTCTCCACTATTACTGTTGTCTCTACTTGAGTGTCTTGGTGATTGCAAAATGTTGATTGATGTTTTTGACAACCCTTCTGAGGAAGGTTAAAGAATGAGCTCCCATTTCACTTACAAGAGATAATCGGGGAAAGCTCAGACCCAAAGGTAAGAGAGACTAAGATTATATCACATCTTTGTGCTTGCAGGAAATTGAAGAACTAAAAGACCGTTCATATACCACCTTGCACTCCAAAGTAAACTCAATGCATTACTGAGTAAATGTCTGAAAGTGCACAATGGGTATATGGTTTGTGTGGTACTCTAGATGTTGGCAGTGGATTGGCAGAACTCCAGAAACCTGGGTATTAATATAGTAGATTGTTTTTACAGTTAATCCATTAGTTTTGAATTCATTTTATAAAAACCATAGACTGAACTATAAATGAATCACACTGTCACTACCCTTGTAGTGTTGAAAACCTTATACAAGAAATTGCTGGGCCACCTTTCCAAATTTGAACATGCATATATAATGTAAGTAATTCTTAAATGAATTAATATGAGCATAGTTGACTCCTTAGTTTTGTAATTCCTAGATTACAGCTAACCGAATAAAGAGGGTGACTACATCAGTGGGATAATGTAACAATTTTTGACGTTGGAACCTGAGGTGAGAATTACAGATGAGATTTGTTTAACCTGTCAACGAATGCTTATGGTTCTTAAGATATAGTTCTTCAGTCATCTGGGATGGTGGTAGAGAAAGTATAATACATACTTTGTCATCTGGTTTATGAAGAATAGTACATCAGAGGTGAGTTACCACCGTTTAGTGTTTGTAAAAAACAAATTGGGGGGGAGCAACCGTGTTGATTCAAACTGTATTGTAGCAGCAGTATAATATAAATTTTCATCCTATAATTTGTACCTAATCCATTCCCACAGCCCTAGTTATGTCTCGATACCCCTGCAAGATTTGAATTTGATTAATAGTTTGAATATAATTCCACCATATTTTTTAAAGTGAAGAATTTAGTTTTTGAATTCCATATTGAAACTAGTGCATTTATTTACAAGGTTTTTATTTTAAAAAATCAAGCTTATACATACATAATTACTTGTTTATTTCTGTGTAAGCCACAGCAGTATTATCATCTCTGCTTATTCAAAAGTACCACACATTCATAAAGCAGTTGCACTTAGTTAATGAGACTCTTGGGACATGCAGAGTATTTATCAAAGATTCATTCTCTCTTACCCCTTCAGTATAATTCCCTCATATTTTTGAGGTTTATTTTATGTTCCTTTGTTTATGTAGTGTAAGGAGAAAATACCAATGGGATTTCCTGTTAATACTAAAATGCATTAACAGGGAGGTTTGTCCTGCAGATGAAATTCATGACAGCGTGCTTTTATTCCCGATAGAATTCCCTAATGAGGCTAAAATTCTGATCTCAGGCTTCAACAGAACTAAATCCAGGATCACATTAAAAGTTAGCTTTTTTTTCTAATAACGTTTTATGACTTCAAAGATGGTAATGCATCAACAAATTTCACAATTTCTGTTGTTAGTTTTACTGTCAATTTCTTGGTTGAGTCTCTCAGGACAACTGCAAAATCAATTAACCACCTCATTAAAGACAGTCCAGAAGAAACCACCCAATTTATATCATTGATTGAGGATGCAGCCCCTCCAAGTAATGGTCCTATACATGTGGGGTTCATTCACCTTTAATTGCAAGCTTATTAGCTAATAACATACACGGCCACTTGTAAATTCGGTGAACCCTAAAATTGCTGTGGCATCATTATTTTGGAGAGTATTGTGACTGCCATGAACATCAAAACAAACAGGAGCCTTTTTACGGAGCAGGGAAAAAGATTTTGGGCAAAACTCCATGTGGTGCACGTAGCACTGAAGTATATCCATAAAAGGAAGAAAATAATTTGTGTTTGATAGCACCTTAATCACATTTTTAAATACCCGAAGCATTTCACGTAATGAAGTAGGGTCAGTTGTAAATGCAAATGCAGCAACCAGTTGCACACAGCAATAAGATGATTAGCCAGTTAATCTCTTTAAATGGCTTGCAACTTGTAAAAAGTATACGTCCATACTCCATGCGTAATGTTTGGTACTTGCCCTTAAATTATCTGTTATATAGTTATGATTCCTATAGTTCTATTCTCCTTCTTTCACCTTCCACCCCACCCTTCCCTCATTTATGGTTGCAATATGAGGTTTGGAGCCCTATAAAAGATGGGTGTACTTACAAATTGTAAATAAATGACTTTTATTAACTTGCCAGAAGGGTAATTGTCCGTTCAATTTTAAAGCCATGACAAAATAAGTTTAAACATATTTTCAATATATTTATGATTTTGAACAGTATTTCATTTGGTTTTCTTTCCCTAAACTTGGTTTGTGTCTGGATTATTAGGCATTTGATCATATGGGGTGATTATGCCTGCATTGTTTTTTTTTTTAAATTTGGCGTTTGGTTTCTCTTCCTGTAGTTATGACTGTGTTATTGGGGTCCATGCTCTCTGGATGCCTTCAGCCATTCCTTATGTAGGTGGCTGTCACATGTGAGCTTAGACAGCAAGCCTAAGCAGGCGCAATACTGTCAGACCTCAACATAGGCATCTGCAAACAAAGTTTTACTCCACTGACTGGATAGCCATCAGGAGCGGGAATCTGCCTGAAAGCTTTACCTTCGCTGCTGATTCAACTGAAGCCAAGTTCACAGTCTCACTGCTGACCTTGGCTAAGATCAGTTAGGTGGAGCTTGCATCTGTACTCTGTACGCAGTTCTTCTTGCATGACTGCAGTATTCCCAGTAAAAGTAATACGAATATGTCGGTAAGACTTGGATATCTTGATTCAATGAAAAACATTTGCTTAAAATCAATGCTTATTTTTGGTAGTTGATCCCCTCGAGTCAAGTTCAGCGTGGCTGCCTAAATAGCAAATTTTTAGTTGTCAAAAATAGATTAAATTAATAGTGTATGTATCCAATCTGTTATTGCAGTTGCTGGAGGTAGCTTTATTCAGTTAAGACTCCAAATCATGAGTGTACAAGACAAGAAGTGACAAACGTTAAAACAAAACTATGCAATATCAAAGATTTAATCTTGTTCAGGTGTATAATGTTGTCCGTGAATATGTTATGAGTTTTTACGTTAGCAATTTTCAAATTAATTGCATTTCATTCATGACAGAGAAACTCTTAATCTGGTTTGTAGTTCAAGGGTATGAACTGGTGCATAATGGTTTCATAACAAAGCACTCCTTTAGATTTATTCCTTTTTTTAGTGACTTTTGGTGCATTTGCATGTTCAAATTCAGTGTTACCAAAAGTTGGCTCTGATCAATCACTATGATATCTGAAAATTTACCAGCTGTCCCGTGAGGAAAAAGTCCTTAGCATCCATCCTCCACCTTGTTGAGGATGACAAGAGAAGTTGTCCTTAGTACAATGGATCTTGAGTGTTTCTGACCTGAGTCCTTTGCTGCCAAGCATCAATAGAAGCAAGAGTAGGTCATCCAGCCCATTAAACCTGCCCCACCACTCAATATGATCAGGAAAGTTTATCTCGAGACAGGAACAGTCTATTCATCTTTCCCTGTCTCTAAGCTGTGATACTGAGTTGTTAAGAGTTTCATCAATGTATTAGTGATGTAGGATCTCAGTTTACATGCTTTCTTAAGACATGCAGTCTCCACTGCCTAAAGCTGAGAAATAAAATGGTGATGTTGGGACGATGGTTATGTGTTTTACAGTGACAGTCTTCTGAAACACATGCTAATGGGCTCTGGGGTTAGAGAGGAAATCTTTGATTTATTTTCACAGAATTGGCTTAATTATTTCTTGACAATTCCATTCCCATGCCTATATAACTGTCAGTCAGTGGTTACTCTGAGTCAAGGGGATCAGACTTGATCAAGCTTGCTTTTGCCTTTTTTTTGTGTCCTATTGTCCCATGTATTCCAAACATTTTATGCCATTTAACGTGAAGCAATCAGAGTTAATCATAGTAGTTGTACCAAACCAAGCTACTGAGAAGCCTGAGTGAGCACAGAGTAATAGCAATCAATTTTTCGGAGATAAAAATGCTGTGTAAGTCACATTGATCATTCTCCTTTCTGGCCTCATACTGAACTCAATTACTCACCATTCGGAAGGTAAGGAAATTTCTCTACTTTGAAGAAAGCTGTAAATAGACAAACCAGCACAAGGAGTTCAGCCATTTGCAATTTTTAGTTAATGAAGATGAAGAATTTGGAAGAATGGGAGCCGATCAGAACTAGAACTAGATATTGTTTAAAAACTGCTGGCAGTTGAACATTGCAATGCAAAAGGGAGTTAATATCGTGGATGAATGCAATATGATGGGTCAAATGGTTCTGATCTGAAACTCTCTTGATATGGCAAAATACTGTACTTTTTGGTGAAGGATATAACAGTAAATTAGTGTGTTTCACCAACATATAACTTATCATTGCTTTTGCATCTGAGGTAGCAGAATTGTGAAATTGTGGTGAGTTGTATATTGAAATTAACCTCAAAGTATTGAGTTGGCTACCAAGCAAATTAAAAATAATTGTACAGTCAAACTCAATTGAGTTTAGCTTAATGATAAAGTTGGTATGAATTTCCTGCCCCTTGAGGTAAAGTTGCTTTGAGCAATCACGTATTGTAAGGGTAATTAAGTTTAGAAACAGGAACCAGAGGGACATATCCACATTAATAAAAGGTTTCTGTAGTGCCTGAGCTGAGTTGTAGTTATTGAAACAGCGTGGTTTTCAGTGCCTTGATTGCCAGATCATCTTGTGCATCAGCAATTGATTTTGTGCAAAAATAGATTTAGCTATATTTAATCTATATGCTTCGTAGAAAATGCTCTCTTGCCTGCATACCATCTCTTGATTTTATAACAAATCAGAAGAAAGTGGTGAATCTGTTGCTCCTAGGAAACTGCAGAGAAATTCTTCACAGCAGGAACTGACATTTGTAAGCATTAAAGATTTGCAATGATACAAGGCGCAGACTTAGTTCATCTTTCTACTCATTTGTACTTTTTTTTGTTGTTGAGCATTTATACTGTGTTGGATGGATCTTTGGGGGGGATGCAAGTGATACCAATGTGTGGTAGAATGAGAAACTATCACTGCAGATGCAATGGTCCTACAATTAGATAAGGAAAAGTTTAAAAAGAAGCAAGGGCAGTGATGACCGAGCAACAACAAAGGGAAGAAATTTGAGTCTGCATTCTTTCTCTGGAAACCCCGGTGAGAAAGTATGTGCTATTTAACTCAAAAGATGACAGAGCAACAGCAAAGGAAAGTGATCTGGTTGACTATGTCAACAGCTACAGAGGTTGAGAAGTATGAGGAAGGAAAATGTACTATGGCCCCAGTAGAATATTATTTGTGACCTGGGCTGTTTTTGGCACTTTTGTAGAGGTGGAAGCCTGTCTGTGACGTTTCAAGCATGTCGTTGAGATACAGATTGGTACAAATTTGAGAAGTTCAGTTGCATAACACACTTAAGGACTTGAGAGTAAAGGCATGTTAGAGCAGTAGTTTGAAAGGGTAGAATAGTCAAGTATTTTCTGGAAGAGGTAATGTGACGTTTTTTGAGGGTTGGGGAGTGGGTAATGGTGGCATTGTGGTGGAGGCACTAATTGGTGTGAATGACCAACTGCCCCTAAGTAGTAACCAGGAAGGTTTACTAACAAACAGTGCAGAAGGTGAGACAGGAGAAAAACTAGATAAAGATGCAGAGTCAAGCTGGAGAGAGGAAATTGTACTTTGAGAAGGAAGAAGCTAGATCCAAGAAATGCAATATAAACAGATGAACAATGTCTGTCTTGGTGATTGAAATAAAAGTAACGTGGGCATTTTAGACATGGAAACAGGATAGAAGGCATTAAGAAGATGGATGATAATGGGAATGAGCCTAAAAGTGAAAGCTAGGAGCTCATTTAGTACAGTAGATATTGTCCTGGTCTGGGGGCTCAGATTTCCAGAGTCTGGGTCATGAACCCCAACAGTGTCACAAGGCAAAATTTTGGGTTCATAAACTCTGAGGCAGTGATGGAACTGTTGACAGCTGCGAGGCCCCTTTGAATCCTTACTTTTTTTTTCAAATTAGTGTCCATGATCTAACCTGCTGCCCTTTGAGTCTGCAGTCTTTCTCTGGAAACCCTGGTGAGAAAGTAGGTGTTATTTAACTCAAAAGAACCTAAAGGATTCTTACACAACCCTTCAGTTCTCCTCAGTTTGTGCAAGGGAGACTAATGCACCAGAACACTTGATGTGGTCCAGTCACATTTTGTGATAGATGGCCAAAGCGACCATGGGCCAAATGTGCCATGGCATATTCCAAACTGCAATAAAAAGACAAAGACAGTGTGGAAGCCACTCTTAACCTGTATGTTGGACCTCACTGCATGGGAGCAAACAGTCAGATCCAGACTGCCGTCCAGAAGTCTCAACGTTTGAGAAAAGAGATTGATCCCTTCAGGACAAATGAGCATGCAGCAAAAGCCAGTTTCTCTATCCATCCTTCAGTGACTTTCAATGTAAAATTTACAGTTGGATATGCAAATCAACATTTGGTTTAATATCATGAGTCAGCACAAACTAGTCACCTCATTGAACACCCCTGTAGAAGTGAAGAAAGAATTCATCGTTGTGTCACCATGCAAATAGTATGGTAGAGCCAGCTTTAATAAGAACTTTCAAAAGGGAATTGGATTAATCACTGAATCCCTACAGTGTGGAAGCAGGCCATTTGGCCCACTGAGTCCGCATCGATACTATGAAGAGCATCCCACCCAGACTCGCCCCATCCCTTCCTGTGTTTGAGGGCTATTAAGTAAGAGCAAAGGATTGAGAACAATTGGGCAGCTCTTTGAAAGAAAAATAACTCTTCTATGTTGTGCCTTTCACAACCTCAGGGCAGTTGAATGTGTTGTAGAGTTTATTAAATTATTTTGAACTGGAGTCACTGTCGCAGTGTGGGAAGTGTGCAAATCAATTTGCACACAGCAAACTCCCACAAGCATCAATGTGTTGATCAGATAATCTGATTTTGTGTCTTGACTGAGGAATAAATATTGGCCCCAGGACAGCAGGGCAAACTCCATCACTTTTACTTTTGTAATAGTGCCACTGGAGAAAGCAAACAATGCCTCAGTTTAATGTCTCCTGCAGGAATATAATGAGTTGGGAGTTGAGGTTGTAATTTATCATGTTTAGAGATTCTGTAATTATTGTCTTGGATTCATATTGCATTGA